AATTTCAAACAATTCATCAATAGGTTATTTGAATACATATGTTAAATTGTCCGTTTATAACCTTTGCAAGCACAAAGTAAAAGAGACCAAATTAAACCACTTAAATTTGACGTCACGTACAAAATTGGATGATACCCTTAATTACTTTAACAATTTCACAAGCGTTTGGGTTTATCTTCGATTAAAAATTGTTTACTCCTCACAGACAATTAAATTTTATGAGAGCGGTTCCTGAAGCAGCGGCAAAAACAAAAGTTCTCTCACCCTTGCAATTTTTTTCCTTGTTGCTGTCGTAATCAAGTTAATTAAGTCTGGCACGCGACGCCTACATACGAAAACGTAATATTATTTGAATAAATGCAGTAAATGAATGAATACAATAATCCTTCATCAATCATCTTTTTCCTTGAAATAGTAATTACTTAAGTTGGTAAAAACCGCTTCGGTCTGAAAATAAAAGAAAAACTGATGATTTCGTAAACGAGGTTCGACTTTTTGTGATAGAAGAAAGTTTTAGATGATTTCATTAATTATTTTTCGGAGGATAAAGACAAACTCACACCGCAACGATTCAGCCAAGTTTAACGTTATTAAATTGGAGAGCAAAGTTATACTGACTGTTTAGGAGTTCGGATGAGATAATACTTCCGGTTTGGCAAACGATTCGAACAGGAAAACTACAAAGAAATAAATGTACTGCTAACATACAAGTTTCCAAAACTATTTATCTTAATGGTTATTCCTTCTGACAAACTGCCATAGACAACGATGTTATATGGCCGGCTGATACGTTTTGCTTCACCGGTGCGCCTATTCCCGGCGCCTCCGCCAAAAATTTCAAACTAATTTTTACAGACGGGACCAGAACGAAACAACTTATAAATAAAGTTCTACAACGAGCCAGATTTAGATTAGCTGGAGCGTGTCTAGTCACTCGTTTATCTTAAATCAATGCTGGATGACCTTAATATCGCGTTCTCAAAATGAAAGATTTTATTCGTGGAAGTTTCTAATTGATTTCTTCGCTGCATGAGACATCACGAGTTACGGCCACAAGGAAAGGGTGGATTTTTTTATCGCATAAAACAATCATATTTTATAAACAAAAGTTAGTTAGATCAAGAAGATTTTGCATGAGGTTAATTAATTTATTAATTCTCAGAAGGCAGACTCAAATTAACGGTTTTCACTGAGTTGAAACTACATTTAAAATTCTATTCTTGATAAAACCACGTGGATTCCATAATTTATGATATGAACCCAACTTCTTTCAACTTTTAAAAAATTGAGGGAAAATTTTAAACTTTCATTATTTAAATTATTAATTGAAGTAAAAATGAATTAACTCCAGGAAATTAAGTCGAATATTGCAAATTACTAAATTTCATTTACGAGTATTAAGATTGTCGGCTATATTTTATGTTGCGTCTTACACGTCTAATTAAATTCACCACACAATATTCCTAGAAATGAAATATAGGATAAAACATAGGTCGTTGTTCTTCTGTCGTTTAAAGAATGAAAACGAATTGTTGTAAATTATTGAATTTATATTTGAAATTTTCGTAATTCGAATCCATGATTTTACTATAACTAACACACGAAGAGGTTTTTTATTTATCAATGAATTACCAAAAAATGGTAAAAATGATTTTTGGTACTTCTACGGTTTCGATATAAGGAAACATATATCTTGTAAGTACTTCCAGAAAAAAATGACTTCTTTCGCATCCTAAAACAACTTTAAAAAGAAACACTTGACTTGACCAGCGCTTTCTAGTAAAATTTTTAAGTATGGTTATACTATGTTGCTGGAATTTGGACAGAGAAATATTTCAAACTTCTACTATATTTAGAATGAAGTACCATCGGATGTTAAAAAAAAATTGGTTTAAAATTATTTAGATACAGGTTCTTTTGCTCCTAAATCGAAATAAATGCAGGCTAAAGTGTAATTTTTGATGAACTAATTTATTTAATTGTGTTATACTTTTTGGTGAGGATAAACATAGTGCAAAATTTGATTTTAAATTTAAATTGATTACTTTATTATTACCAGAATCCTTAACACACAACTTTGGTTAGCGTTCTACCACCTACACGACAACACTAAAATTCATTTAAAAGTTCCCGTTAATCCATTCATGAGCTTCTAAGATGCCAGACTGTTGCAAATGGATGCCCTACTTTTCCATTATCTTCGGAACTATAAAATATCGAAATAATGTAAAAAATTGCAATATATTCCTAGTTTACGCTTGGTAAGTAAAAATAAAGTTTAACATGAAATATAAGTATGAAGAGATATACCTATATTAGCTTATTAGAAATCAACGAAAATTCCAAAATAGTTAAAATAGGAAATATTTTTACGAAGTTTTTATTTTTATTGTAACGGGGTTCATTTGATAAATGGCTAATTTGGTGTTTTCCCGACGTTGATACCTCCTAGAATATGAAGAAGTAGGTCACTCGTTTGTCTGTCTGTCGTCTGTCTGTTGCCTGTCTGTTTTCTCTTGAGGAATGTATTAGAAGACTGACTTATAAAAGTCGTGATTAGATCGTTGAAATATTTTAAGAAGTATACATGATAAAACCCTGACCAAATTATGTGTTTATCCTCTCTGTTGTTGTATTTGTTGTTTATTAATCTAGTGTTATTTTTAACCTTGCGCATGTATAGATTTTGAAAACTATTTCAAAATTGTATAACAGAACTAATTGCTGTAAAACTTTGCACACGTTTTAAGGTGTTCTTTCACTTCTAATTTAATAGTCAATCCCTATTTTTATTTTTATTTTTATGAGTTATCATAACAAAAAATTTTATTTCGTAAAATCAGGTTTTACAAGTACATAAGGAACTAGGCTTGTTTAATGAATTGTACTTCAGGGGCAAGGGCAGATTGCCTAAACAACTTTAGATACATTTTTTCCTTAATAAAAATATTATCTTACACAGATCTTTGTTACTTTCCGAAAAAAGGTAACAGTAGTTAAGCTACTTTGAAACAATATGTACTGAATAAATAAAAGGGTCAATTCTCTTATCAAAAACAATTTTGGATAAATTATTGTTACTAATAATAATCTAGAATATCTATAAAAAATTTGTCGTTGCATCTAAACACTGACTGCTGAAAAAATGTTACAAATCATAATTTACGATTCTTAAGTTACATCACAATGTGCTTTATCATTTTTAGACTTTAAATGATTAGGTAAATGAAGAATTAGGTTATCATTAGGGGTAATTATATAACATAACGAATTTATTCTTTTTTAAAATATCGTAAAACTTTCTTTAGCAAAAGGATTGGGTATTTGAATTGCATTAAACATTTAGTAATACTGATAACATTTTTAGATCTAATTCTTGTATCTTTGTACATATGTTAAAAATCTTGGTAGGTTCTTTCTATGGCACTAAAATTTTTGCCTTAAAATGCACTTTGGGAAACTGCGACCAAGCCTGTGAAACCAAAACAAAAATATATAATGAGGACAGACATTTTTTCAAGAGTTTGATTACTGCAAGAGTCTCATTATTGAAACTATATTGGAATCTGAAATTTAATGCACATTGATTATAACTTTGTTTGTATTTGCGGAAAGCACGTATACATATAGTGGATAAAGTTTTATCTATATGTTACCGGTAATCTGTATTATTCAGGTATTTTATACAATACTTAGGCAATGTGTAGAATACCGGGGGCGTCTAGGCATTGCATGAAATAAGTATTACGAATATGACTGTCCATTACACACTTTGCGTAGGTAATGTATACAACTCCTAGGGATTGTATAGAGTACCTCGGGGTCCATCGGAAATGTGTAAAATAGAACAATTTTTATAAAAACGGTTTTTTTGCAGTAGAATTAAGAATTACTGCACTAAAAAATATTTATTCTCCGGTTACTAGACCCTACACAAAGAAATAATTTTAGACATTAAAGGTATGAATACTTTTTACTCATAATAATAAACTTTTTATAATATATAAATTATTCTACAAAAAAGGCACTTAGTACCTTTCTGTAACTATAGTAAAATCACAATTAAATCACGTTAAACTCAAAATCTAGCTAAACTAAAATAATAAAATTTTCCTCAAAAATAATCAGCAACGCGTTTAACTGTCTCCCCGCTTATTGCACCTTACTTACTATCGTCTTTTACACACATTACCGGTGCGCATTCGGCATAGAATACCTAGGAAAAGTATAAAATGAATAATATTTCATACATTACCTTAACGTTTTAGGCATTCTATACATTGCCTAGGTATTGTATAGAATACCTAATTATACAGATTGCCGGTAACATATACACTTATACAATAAATGTTAAACTGTATAACATAATAAATAATAATAAAAACCAGCGTTATCTCAATAAAACTACTGCAACAGCGTCGGTCGTGTAAGATAAAATTCTAGTCACTCAGCAGATTTTCCGCCCGATCGAAAAATTCAATCGCAACACCTTCCCCGTCTACACAATTCTTTATTTACTAAATTTGAAATAGCGTCGCTGTTGACTATGTGCATACAAACCTCTCAAACGTGTAAACTTTCCAATATTGCATCTATTGGATATCTCGCAAATAAAATTTCTTCAACACTGTTGTTGATACAGTCACAAATGGAGTTATCTTATGGGATTTGGCAAGTTATTCCTAGTCTTTGTGTACATTCTCGGTTTCGTCACTGTGTACCAACTATTACTATTTTGCTTCCTGACTCACAGAATACATCAGTGGGATTTTATGTACGAAAAGTAATGCGTATCCTTAACAATACCACTCCAGAATGAATCTGTGGATTTTTCAAGGCCAAAAGCAATAAAAATGTTTGCCGCTTCCGAGGGTGGATTTGGGACGATCGAACGATAAAGGGTGCTTGTTAGTAATGTGTCTGAGATATGTCTATAACGGGTAGTCTGATGGGGTGAGTGGCCCCGATATAGCACAAACACCAAGATAGTGAAAACTTACAATTCTTCCATATGTGTGTACGGGGACAGCGACGTTTCGTTTAGAGATGTGATATTGTTGCTTGTTAGGTCCCTGAAAAAAAAAGAAAAATGTTAATTGTGTTACTAAATCATGGACTCTAGTTGCTATTCCTTGACTTGAGCCAAGTATTTGATTGCGTCTGATGTGAGTGTGTACGTATATAATATACAATAAGTAAATTAATTTCTCTTATAACTAAACTCATTTCATGGTGTCTAAAAAATCGTTATCAGAGTGTTACAAGCAAAAGGAAAATATCTGATGAGTATCTACTGTCAAGTAAGTAAAGAACTGGGGAGTCCTACTTTTCCCTGCATGGTTATTTTGCAATGTTGAGTAGGTATCTGTAAAGTCGAACATATCTTTGTTCGTTACTTGTGGAGCTACTATCCACTCCTACTCTATAATACTAACAGCCGATTTAAATAAAAAATATGTACGCCTAGATAGAACTGCCGTTGATTACACTGTCCAAATTTTTAAAATATTGCCTATAGAAATAAAAAATTTAAATACCAGAACTGTGTTTAGAATTAGTTTAAAATGTTTGTTAGTTACGAATGCATTATTCCTACGAAGAATATTTACCTTTTAATTGCATATGACGTTATGTTTATGTAGGTGTACATGTAGTACGTATATTTTTTATACTTTTTGGACCTGTGTAAAATAGTTTGTTAAACTTATTATTATCACTTATAGTGTACCATAGGTACAAAAATAAAAATATTTGCTCTATTTTACAATCATAATCTTGTTTATAAGCACACAAATGCGGGCATAAATTGGCCTTTATGGCATAAATCAGTCAAAAATTGCTAAGCGACAATTGATTATTCATTTACATGAATTAATTATTCAAACAAGCTTCGATATTCAACTTTTTGATTAAAGTTGGGAAAATAATATTTCATCAAATTATTCTCTGGCCGAATTCAAATTCTTCTAAAATTTCTTCTGAATAAACGTTTTCCGCTTTTTCAGTTTGCATTTTGAAAGTCAAATTATTTAACAAATAAACAACCTGGTATTCATAACAACATCAAAATAATAGCCAGCTACGTATTAAAGTTCGCATCGGTACAATTCACACAATCTTACCGGAAATTCTCAATACCTATTTCGTTAAAAATACTCCATTTTAGAAACTAAAATAGAATAAAAATAGATTCCACTCGTGCATTAATTTCAGATAATGACAAAATTGCAAATATTTTTGAAGATACCTTTGCTGAGACATACATTGCCGAACTTTCTTCAAATCCTCCTATAGTTTCTACACCTCTATGTACTCCCTCACTAACTAATGTTGAGTTCCTTGAAGAAGTATAGGTACACTAGGCTCCGAATGATGAAAAAAACTAAATCTCCCGGACCTAACGACCTGAGTACCTACTGCCATTTTGAATGAATGTGCGCTTTTTTTATGTAAGCCCCTGAGTTTCCTCATGCCGTAATCATTTATTAAATTGCGTAACGATTAGAGAACAGCAACTGAAGTTCCTTCTAGAACATGAGATCATTCCGGTTGAGCAACACGGATTTGTGCCCAACCGATCGGTAGTTACCAATCTTCTCAGTTGCCTCAATGATTGGTCCAGAGAACTTGACAATGATAATCCTGTGGATGTAATTTATTTTGACTACATCAAAGCATTTGATGAAGTCCCGACGAATAGCCTATTACACAAACTTGAGCACTTTGGAGTCAGAGGTGGATGACTTAAATGGATAGAAGGCTTTCTATCGTTTCGAACATTTAGAGTAAACATTGATGGGTGCCTCAGTAATTCACACAAGGTCCTAAGTGGGGTTCCACAAGGGACAATTTTTGGACCCCTTACTATCCGTAGTTTATATCGCCGATCTTACCGTAGAACTTTCCAGTCCTTTCGCTCTATTCGCTGACGACTTAAAATTGTATAACATCTCGAAGAATAACAATGTTTGAAAGGTGGATTTAATAACACTTTATGCATGGACGCAAAAATGGCTTATGACCTTCAATATGAGAAAATGTTGCGTACTTCATCTAAGCAGCAACAATCTCACAATGCAATCTAATCTTGGTGGTCACGTTTTGCAGTTCTTTGTATCGTTGCAGATTGACTTGGACGTCACCAGAAGATTTGTCCTGGTCTTCTCACATCTTATCTGCGGTCGAGAAAGCTAACTTCATTGGGTATTTGATAAGAAAAACTTTCCCCTGTGCACCCATCGAAATCATGGCAAAACTGCACAAGACTTACGTACATACGTCCAGTATAGAGTACGCCAATGCAATCTGCCACCCAATCCTTGTTAGGGACAAACAGCTGCTGGAGTCCGTTCAACGTCGCATCACCCGTATCCCTTTTGGTTTCCATCGTTCTAGCTATGAGATCGTCTTAAGATAATGAAATTACCGACAATTGAACATCGTAAAGTTGGAGGAGATGTTATCACGACCTTTAAAATATTATCACAACTCGATTCACCTATTCGTCATCTTTTTTCAACATCTGTTGATCAAAGAACACGAGGGCATTGACTAATACTACGTAAATGGGTTCTCAAAACAAGAATGAGACCATTCTTCCTACCGGAGCGGGTTTTCGGTATTTGGAACTCCATATCCCTAAGTATAATTCAAAGTCGTGCTTTAATCAGTTTCAAGATAGCACTAGATACCTGGCTCCTCGGTCATCACAACTGATAATACATAGCTTGTATATAAATTAAATTTATAACAACTGTCCTTTGGGCATTACAGGCTCCATCTTCTGCCCTATTTCATTTTTACATAAATAAATTTCGGAAAACAGGTTTGCAATACCACTTCGATTCAGAGACCTCAGAAAGATAATAATTAAACAAACAACTCGCAAAGAATATCAAAGCTTTATCAGAAGTAACGAGAACTCCATTAAGAATAACCCTAAGAAATTTTAGAATTTTATAAATACGAAGAGAAGAACTTGGTGGTATATCGAACTCAATGGTTAACTGGGAAGATATATTATCAACTCCCCAGCAAATAGTACATTCATCTGCTAAAGAGTTTGGTGCAGTTTTTCAAGAGAATCAATATAATTGTGTTCAGAAGTGTGATACTTAAATAAGTAATTAGAAATTGTACCTACCCTGAATCTTGGAAAACATCACGTTTTTATCCTATATTTAAGTTTGGTGACCGCTCTGATATCAAAAATTACAGACCGATTGCCCTTCTGATAAAGTTTCCAAAACTTTTTATGTATGTACTGTCCAACGTTATTTATTCACTTGTTGAAAATTATATCATCATTCCTGAACGACATGGGTTTATTAAGGGCAAAGGGGTAGGTAAGTAGTTCGGGACTTACTACTGCCCTGTACAAATCTACCGACTCACAAATTTCTTTCATCATAATCACTTTGTGGTATTATCCCAATCACTCATGGTTAGTGTTGTTAATAATCTCGGTATGAGGTACCACTTGACAGACCATAAGACCGGTCAGAATTTGCAAAACTAGCCAGCTAAGGTATACGTTTAATTTCATACACTGCCGTAATATAAGCAGGCAATAATTATTTTAAATATATGTAAACAAATAATAATATGCGACTATTACGTATGCCTACACCTATGCCTAAAAAACGAACTTGCGAATGCAATTTTATGAATGTTTAAGCAGCATTCCCGATTCCGATCACGTGTTGCAGTTTCAGTTAATTGTTCTATGAGGAATTCACTGAGATAATGCTAGGATTTATCGGCGTATTTACATAATAAATTGAGACGTTTGCTAATTCAGCCCAGTTCTTACGGCCTCAGGATTACACAAACTTTACATAGCAAGCGACCTAATCCTTAATCCAGCACTTGAAATCCAGCAATTATCCTCAATTAGTACGCATCATATTCAAGAAAATTCGATTCGCTTCCTCGTCCTCGAACAAAATCACTTTTTCGAGGCATTTAAGCGACCCAAAGAAATTGACGACGGTGCAGATTATTATTCAATGTCCTCACCAATGGACACTTTCTCTTCGCAGACAAAACTAATGGCCTAGTTGGGCTTTAAATCACATTATTTCATTTCATTCATTCAAAGAGGAGATAAATTCCTTACGTTTGAGTCAAGTTTAATTCAGAACAACAACCGGTAATAGTGCGATTTAATTTGACAATTAAGCGACTGAAATGGTTTTATTTATCGGTTAATTAAATTTACAGCGGCCTCATTATTATTATCGTTTCAGGTTTTTGTCACTCCTGATATAAGAAATTTAATTAATTGTTGTAACCGAAATAGTCTCAAACCAAATATCAAGCTTCAGTCGCTCGTCAGATCCTTTGTAAAATTTCGAAAGACCGACAGCTCCTTTCGGATTTATTCTATTACGTTACTTCATTCTCACGTTTCATTTAATTTTATTCTTTTATGTTCGTCTCGAGTTTGTGCTTATTGTAAAAATACCACGAAAGGGCGGCTTTTATAACGACGCCAATCTCTTGCACAGTTTCATGCTACTTTCCCTTTAAAAAAGCGATTTTTAATTTTAGAATCCTGCTTGCGGATATAAACGTTCCTCACAATTATTATTCATACTAGAATTCCAGCACTTGGAAATTACAAGAATTCGTTGAGAGGAGGAAGTTGTTATAAATTTCAAAGATTACTCCCTCCAGGATCTGTACCAGTGACATTATGCGCTAGCACACGCACGCACCATTTCCTTTTTCCATACATAAGCACAAAAAGATTTAATAAAGTTTCTGAATAAATTTTGGAAGTAGCTTCTTGTAATCATAATTTAAAATACAACTTTATTATTGAAAACGTAATTTCCGTGGTACTTAAGGATTAGTAATTTTATCTAAGCGCTTGCACAACTACGACTTGAGAGTCGTTAAAATAATTAAACATATTTGTTATTATATGTATGAGTGGTAAAACATTAAAATTTACTGTTTATTTAAGGGGAACTTCGTGTGTTTGAATCAGCAATAATTTACCTTTAATGGTCAAATAGGCATAACTCGTTGCCTAAGACATACATGGAAAATAATCATACATAATGTC